TGACTATATACTACTCCTGGGGCGAACTCTAATCGTGAAAGCTCTTCTTTCTCCTAATAACTAACTTCGATGATCTATTATTTATTTCCATAATTGGTCATATAATCTGTGGATGCAAAAGACCAACCTTGGATTATAATCAATCATGACATCACGTGTTAACCATTTGCTTACCTTGCTGCTTAAATTTGCAGGAGAAATCCGCAAAGAAATGAGGGAAGAGATCGGGAGAGGTTTCCCGGCAGACGCTACGCACGAACTCGCTCGGGGAGAAAGGTGAAAGGAAGAGGTTCCCGGGTATGTTGCCTCCATTATTAAGTGCACATCTTTCATGCATGTGTGGTAATTTTCCTATAGCATTCACATTACTTGCTTGAGGTGATCCCAGACTGTCTGGCTGAATTAATATATATTAAGTCGGCTGCGCATTCGGTTGATGTGTCTGCGTCTATGACTGTGGTAATACTGTGCCAGACATGCAAGTGACAACACACATCTGGTAATTGATGCTCATTGTAGGGTTAGACTTGGTCAATACTCGGGCATTACGAGTTGGTTGTTTCAACTCTGTCAGTAAGAAGTAGTGAGGTTGTTACAACGTTGTTCTGTTGGTGAGGTGGTAGTGTTTATGGTCATTGCAGCGCTATAGAACGCCCTCTAGAAGTCGTTCTCGGAGTTACACGCCGCCACACTGGCGGCAGGCGGAACAGCGCACAATCAAGATAGACGAATACCTCGAGGAGATGAAGAGACTCAAGGCAAACGAGGAGGAGCGAGAGGAGAGGCACAAGCGCATGACAGAGATGAGGGAGAAGCAGAAGGAAGCGGCTGCAGCAGAGATACCCCTGCAGGATGCTGAAGGCAAGCGTGAGCACCACAGGTGAGCAATGTGAAAATGCTTGGCAGGACTCCCTGATGGCAAGGGGCAAGCTAGGAGAAGGGGTGAGCTAGGGGTAGAGGCAAGATGTGACATGGGGTAAGCTAGGGGTAGAGGCAAGATGTGACATGGGGGAAGCTAGGGGTAGAGGCAAGATGTGATATGGGGGAAGCTAGGGGTAGAGGCAGGATGTGATATGGGGGAAGCTAGGGGTAGAGGCAAGATGTGACATGGGGGAAGCTAGGGGTAGAGGCAAGATGTGATATGGGAGAAGCTAGGAGAAGGGGTAAGCTAGGGGTAGAGACAAGATGTGACATGGGGGAAGCTAGGAGAAGGGGGAAGCTAGGGGTAGAGGCATGATGTGACATGGGGGAAGCTAGGAGAAGGGGTGAGCTAGGGGTAGAGGCAAGATGTGACATGGGGGAAGCTAGGGGTAGAGGCATGATGTGACATGGGGGAAGCTAGGGGTAGAGGCAAGATGTGATATGGGGGAAGCTAGGGGTAGAGGCAAGATGTGACATGGGGGAAGCTAGGGGTAGAGGCAAGATGTGATATGGCGGAAGCTAGGGGTAGAGACAAGATGTGATATGGGGGAAGCTAGGAGAAGGGGTAAGCTAGGGTTAGAGGCATGATGTGATATGGGGGAAGCTAGGAGAAGGGGTAAGCTAGAGTACATGGGGAAACCAAGGCAAGGGATAAGCTAGGAGAAGGGGCAAGCTAGGGGAAGGGGCAAGATGTGGCAAGGTGCATACTGGAGTGAGAAGCAATTTAGAGAAAACAGCTACCTGGTAACCTGACCAAGGGGCAAGCTGGGGCAAGCAGGGTAGACGAGTGCAGCAGAGGAGAGGTTCCACATGACAGTCTTGTGATGACACTTTCGGAGAAGACATGAAAACCATCGTCATAACAGCTGTGTTACTTTCCCATTCACAGGAAGAGGGATGAAGAGAGAGGCGGACACATGGAGAGGGAGAATCCAGGAGAGAATCGCAGGAATCAACCGGAGCAGGAAGTCACAGTCGTCGACGGCAACCGTCACGTCGCCGCTAGCGACGGGAGAGCGAGACGCCACCGGCCCGAGCGAGACGAGCATGCAGGCGATGACGGCACCAGGGGGCGCCAGAGACACCGGCGACGCCGCGACTCGAGCCGTGATCGTGACGATCGAGAGAGAGCAGCGGCGGTGGAGGGTGACGACGAGATAGAGACGAACCGCGACGGCAAGCATCGACATAAACACAGGAGGCGCCACCGCAGCAGCAACGACGGCGTTGAACCCGGCCGTGGCGATGAGGCGCCTCGTCTGCTCTCACAGGTTTACTCCGTGCCGTCGGGCAAAGCCAGCGAAGAACTGCCGCTGCTAGATGCCGCCGCCGCCGCCGGCAGCAGCAACATCCCCATGCCCAAGGACGCGTCGGCCATGTGGTGCAGCAGCAAGGACAACGAGACGATCCCCGGCCTGGTAGACACGGCGATGGAGGAGGGCGAGGAGGAGGAGGAGGCGGCGGCGACAGCGGGCAAAGACGACGCCATCAATCAGTCGCCGCGGAAAGAAGCGGACACATCGCCGCGAGACCGTCCACGCTCCTCCGCCAGTCGCTCGCGTTCCAAGTCGCCTGTTCGCAAAAGGTCACGGCGGCAGAGCCACTCGCGAAGGTCGTGCTCCGTCAGCAGGCACCGCAAGGGATCAAGGTCACGATCAAGGTCGAGAGATCCCAAAAGGTCGCGTTCCGGGTCGTCTCCAAGGCGGAGGATGTCGCACGACTCGCGACGGCGTGGGTCACATTCAAGGGAAGATGCGCATCGCTCCAGGCGAGCACACAGGAGCAAGCAGTAGCTGTCACGCTACATCGCAGATGGCTGTATCGGCTGTCCAGACATGTCTGTATGTCAGGACTCGTGTAGTGACGTGCAACGTTTTTTTACAGGCACATCTGTGCCGACGTAAACAGAATTCTCATGTCTTGATGATCATTTCTTCCGCTGTCTGCTACGTTGATTTTGGAGAAATCTGGTTTATAAATATTTTTGGCATGTATATGTACCCAGAGGTTAGTTACTATGAATTTTTTCTTTGAACCGAGGCAGAGTTGGTAAACATGCAAGTATAGGAGTCGATTCATTTAAAAGCAGAGCACTTGTAAGTGAATATAAACGAGCAAAAATAAGTGCATACTTGTGCACGGTATGCAGCAGGCAATGTGGAATGAAAATTTTGACTCGCATATAATACACGTATACTGTAATTAATAGTTGATATAGTTAGTTGATTATAATAGTTGATGGACGTTTGGAACGTATATTTTACAGGTATAAATTGTTAACAAATGTCAAAGCATTAATATGTGAGAAATGGATTAATTTTAAATGTTGAATGCATTCATTAAATGTTAGATTAGTAGTCATTGTGGGTACAATTATATTTGAGAAGTTGATTGCCGTTAGTTTGCTTGTAATCCTCATTAAATAGCTTAACTTGTAGCACCGACATGTATGCGTGTATGTAGTACTGCTAAATACATTTATTTGAAACATTGTAAAAAAACAACCGTAATTGTCATGTAGTTTTAATTTGTCATAGTGTGGTTTTGTAGCTCGATGCTCACTTCACTGACCTACCACCTTGAATTGAGGGGGCGGGGTACAATAGAAATACAAGAAGCAATTATTGTTACAATAAACGAAATCAATCGATACCGTTTACTCCATTTTTTTCACAGATAAAGAATCTATTGTTTAATGTTTATCATTCAAACAAACTAGAATCGCTATACATTTGTAATGTTTTCTACAGGTATAATTTAGATTAGCTCTGAAACAAGTTTTAATTTAACTGAACAGAATTGCCTCTGTTCATTGGAATGCAAATGTGAACAAAAATCATCTTACACAAGTAAAAGATGCTAATCTAACAATAAAAAATCATCATTAAACATAAAACTGTGAAATTGAAAGTAAGATCAGCCACTACATTATTGCCACTACTATATAAACAACCTAAATTTAAAGTTGAAATCATTTATGAAACAAAGAATTCAAGAGAATCGATGAATCGTAAATCTACTTGTAATACTGCAACATTCATGGTATTCAGGCAACTGCGACGATCATTACAGACTAAGTGGTAATGCAGTCCCTCCCACTTCAGCGGCCACGCCCATGGCCACGCCCATGGCCGGCTACTTGTCGGTTCAGATTAGACAACATAATGGAAAGAAAATCAGGTAAATACTCTGAACAGACAAAAGGATTTGCTCCAATTTAGGACACTATATACCTCCACACACTGGAAGTAATTTTTCTTCTAAAATAATGAACACTGAACACGTATCAAACAAGACATACCTGTGAACTTTAATCACTATTAGAAATCAATGAAATCGTGCGTCCCATCACCAGCCTTACCCAAAACCAGCCTTACCCAGCCTTCCGCCACACTTAAGAGTACCATGCATCCGATCTAAACAGTCTATAGTTGTCCATTTTGATTCTGGGATCTTATTTTCTGCTTACACTTTATTTCAATGGGAAACCTCATTTATAATTACTACTAGGTGGCTTTCACTATGTTCCCTTAACATCCATGCCGCAAACATGATGTCATATTGCAACAGATTGCAAACTGTAATATTGAGACGGGTCTCCGTTAAAATGCTTACATACGCCTACATTTGCATTGTTTCTATGTTGCTAGTGTTACCATCCAAAACAGTTTGCATGGATTTCTACATAATCACACCGTTGTGTATCAAGCAAAATCAGCAGAAATGCAAGAAACAGACGAACAAATTCACAATACCAAATACGGAGCAACAGCGGCACCTGTAGTTTCTCCTTGGCCGTTTCACTGCCCGTCGTCGGGCAATGTATGTGCTTGTGTTTAGCTCCGGGAGCGGGACTTGCTCCTCGATAAACTCTTCCTGCTACAGACAAGTGACACCAAACTGTTGAACCAAGAGTCCCCACGTGTTCACATGGACTGCTGCTGGTGCTGTCATTTACTGCGCAGTGATGGGACACTCGCAATCCATTTGACATAGCTCACCAGTCGCAGGTCAAGCAAATAACAGTTAACTCGCGCACACTAAATCACATGTATATGACACAATGCCAGCGAAGAAGAAGGAGGAAGGAAGTGAATGCTTACTCTGGGCTTCTGCTCATCTTCTTCTTACTCATACTCCTCCTGGGACTGTGTGTGGGAGATCTGCTCTTGCTACGCTCTCTCGAATAAGATCTGCACAGGCAATGTGACACTGTCAACTCACTGAGATTTATAGCTGCATTTATGATCAATAACTTAATAATGCAAACTCATCATAATTTCATTCTATAATTATGTACATGTTCACAATGTATATTTCAACAACTAATCTATTTTTAAATTAAGTTCACAAACAAGATTACTATTCCATGTAACCCCAATAAATGCTATGTATCATACTACTAACACATCTTTGACGAAGCATTATTTCGCAGGCAAGGAAAAACATTTATTTAATTAATACATTTTCTAGTGAGTATAAGTATATCATTCAAGCATAAAAACCAATCAAACATTAGTCAAAAATAACTAGTGATGTTTTAACCATTGACCCACGAAGCAGAGTGCATTAAGAACATCGAGGACAGTGCCAACCACGTGGAATCGTTCAACCATGTAAAATCGTTCGACCACGTGGAATCGTTCGACCACGTGGAATCGTTCGACCACGTGGAATCGTTCGACCACGTGGAATCGTTCGACCACGTGGAATCGTTCGACCAGGTGGAATCGTTTAGTTACCTGCTGTGACGATCTCTCACCGGTGTGCGGGAGCGAGAACGAGATCGTGAGTATGAGCGAGAGCGATCGCGCCGTCCAAAGTTGCGTCGGTCGGCCCTCAGCTCTGGGCAGTCGCGTGCCCAGTGTCCGACGCGGTGACACCTGTAGCACTCGTCTCTTACCTGTCATCAATCACTCTGCACCGTCACTACCATTAAACAGCTCGCGAGACGGCGTTGCCAGTAAACGGCTACCGTCACGTTAGTGTCCGAGATGTACACATCTACCACACACGACAGACTACCAACATTGAAATGCTATCCAACAGTTATCGACAAAACTGGAAGTTGATGGTATAAAGGATATACGATAACCAACATACAGGCTATGAAATTATAAACGACCTCAGCATAAAATCACGTCTCACGCTGTAACTAGGCAAATACGTTTCACTGTCTAATTCCTATACTGTAAGTTCAACCTCAATGTGAGCGGTAAAGCAACTTACCCATGGTTTTGGAGGAGGTCCGTAACGGTCGTACCCGCCTCCCTCACCTCCTCCGCCTCCGCCTCCACCTCCACCTCCGCCTCCGCCTCCTCCTCCTCCTCCTCCTCCTCCCCTGCCGCCACGCGTGCCCATGCCTGGCCCACGAGCCCACTCAACGACTATACTGTTGCCAAGCAGCTCACGACCATTCTCGTACTTTACGGCATCCTGTGACAAACAAAGTGACAACTGTCAGCAAGTGGTTTCTACGACTGCACTCGTCCTCAGCCAGATGCTCTCTTTCTCTATCTCTCATTCTCGCTCTCTTAGCTAGAATCGAGGAGCACTTTGGAGGCTTTTAGCTCAAATCATTCCCACGCTCTCTCATTCTCGCTCTCTTAGCTAGAATCGAGGAGCACTTTGGAGGCTTTTAGCTCAAATCATTCCCACGCTTAGAATAAAACAAAACACTACTAGTTTATACACAGAGGTGGGCCAGCATACAGGCCCGTGTGCATGGTTACCATTCCACAATAGAGAGGTGCAGAAGAATAAGACTACAGCTAGACCGAGGAAGCTCTACGATTACGACAGCAGACATGCGCATAATTAGAAGTGCAATCGAACAGGGAAACGCTCATTGCACACCTGTCAAGTGCAACAGATCGGCTTTATGTAAAGACAAAGGGGAGTCAGCGTGCTAGTGTGTGGTCGCAGACCCATACAAAAAACATGGCACTATGCCACTTGCAATTCTGCACATGCCACATGAATGCACCACAGCAAGTAAACGAATGGCATATGTATGTCATGCTAGACAAGCTTTGAAATTTTCTTAAATTTGGGAAACTTACCTCTGGCACGTGCCCTGGTCATTGTAGAAAACACTTTTATTGTGTCATTTTCTACAATATTATATTATAGGACATCACACCCACGTTAACAGGGAATGATTACATTTCAGATTGAAATTTTTTAACAGGGCCAGAAAAGCCTGTGATAGAAAAGCCTACACGTCATTACTACAGTGCGTTGAATGGCAGACTCTACATGCAACAAACCAAACAACCAAATTAGTCATGTTACCACAACGTTTGGAAACCATTTCAAAGGAACCATTTTCACTACAGAGACTATTAGTGCTTCGCCATCTTTATTAATAAAATCTAATTTAAGCCAAGAAATAAACAATGTATATATTTTCCTAGCATTTGGAAACCTGCAAACTGATTTTTTACATATAAATATGCATAATTAAATACCATCCTTCAGTGTAAAAGCAAAGTAAGAAAACCCACAAACTACAAGATTTTGAGGTGGCTGCACCGCTCTTAAAGCAATGATCTCTGTAATTTCGCCAAAAATATGCCATAAAAAAACTCACCCAGAGTCTACAGAATGCATGTATTAGGTAATGTACTACTTATCACAGAGACTTACTTAATAACTATTTAGAAATTCATCTACAAAATGTGAAAAAATTTGTTGGCATCGATAACATTTTGTCTGTTTATGACCCAGCGTTTCAAGGATTACATTTATGTTAAGTTTGTTATAGCGTAAGAAACTGACAACCTGAATTTACGAATGCTAGTTTCCCGACAGTTTAATAAGCTCCGTCTATACGAGGAATTTTGTCTCGGGTTAAGCATCTATACGAGGTCTTAACTCGGGATAAGCTAACCCGGGTTAAGCTTAACCCATGTTAAGACTCGTGGAGACGCGCGCAAAATCGTTAACCCGAGTTAAATCGTTAGCCTCCCGCTAGCTTAACTCGGGTTAAGACAAACTCCGTGTAGACGATGCGTGTTTCTTAACTCGGGTAAAGAAAGAGGAAGGTAAAGAACTCTTATTAAATGAAGGGTTGGGACTATTATTTAATATATAATCTGATCCCTTATGGAGTTATTATGTTTCATTTAAAGTTAAATCCTTGGGTGCATTTTAGCAGTTTCACAGGTACCATGAGAAATAACAACAATTGAGTGAGATAGGGGCAGGAATACAAACTTTAAATAAAATTTTAATAATCCTAAAATTACACACTTTGCTAGTCACCTGACATCGTTTACACTATCTGTCAGAAGTGACTATAGTTAACAAACTAATGAGATCATTGCTTTAATTAACGCACAAACAGCATTTCAGCTGTCACCACAAATTTGTGGTTCGTCAGTGTCATGAGCAACATGCATGCAGCAGTTACAAAGGGTTCTGTCTAACACAATCAGTTGGCACATTGTGCTGGCTGACAACTGCATATGACATGCCACGTGCAACAAGCAGCGACCAACAAGATGTCATTCCCTCCCTCCCTCCCAATCCGGTTTTAACAAATCGCAAAGTGCACCCCTTGTTTCACAATCGCTCTTACACCTACTAAACAGAGGTACTGCCATATGGTTGTGATCAGTGTACACGTACAAGACCCACAGCAAAAATTTGTCACTTTACCACATGGAATGGTCAGGCCGCGGAACTGGAATGCTCCCGAGAACATGAAGGATGCAAACCAAGGCATCTCTACAGAGACTCCAAACAGATTGACAAACATCAGCCAGCAGCACGAGCGACTCCGGGCGTGACGAGGGGGCATGACGCCGGACGGCTTAGTAGCAGAGCTCCAGGAGTCGTGGGGAGAACTCCGGGGCAGCTTTATGTACAGAGGGGTGTCCGCTAGAGACACTAGACGGCACTCCAGGCAGCACTAGCACGTAGGTGGCGCCAGCTGGGCATGTGTGTACGGGTAAGTGGCAGACATTTCAGCATCGCATGTCCCGTTACAGGTAGGCATAGGGTATCAGGGCTAGTCAACTGGTCTGCCTGGCACAACCAAAATGTATCAGTGAACTGCTGTTTGCTATGCCTAATAAATGTCACTAATAATTTTCTTTCCATTTAAATTTGCTATGCTAATGCACAAGTTCTTTGAAATTTACCCTCAATGTAAACTGCTGTCACTACTCCATATAAGCACAACTTCGTTAATATTACAAAAGATATATGAAAAAAACAACATTTTTAAGTTGAAATTTCTTACTTGATGACCATCTAATTGTTTTTGCAATGACCCAGAATTAGTTAAATAAAATTCCTTACATGCACATACTTGCACATGACCATTTTGAATACTTTAATATATAACATAGTAATAGTCATATTTTATATGCTAAAGCTCTTTGAAGATTTGCTTATCATGGTGCTTGTACTAATATTGCATAATACATATATATTTAAGTATATTCAATATTGCTTAAATACTCAGATGAAGTGTGCACAGCAAAAGTTACAACTGCAAAACAGACGATTGGGTAAGCGGAGAAGAATGGATATTTCTTAGTAGGCACACTTTAAATATTCATAAAATGTACCTCAGCGTCCCTGCGATCCTCATAATCCACAAATCCATAGGCTGGAAACAAACAAAAATTGTGTTTAACATTACATCAAACTTTTAAGAATTTCAACTTATAAGTTTAATTAAAATGAATGGAATAGCATCTGTTCAATAAAGATGATAATTTCATAAACATTTAGACACAATGAGGAATTCTGTTATATTGTATATATAAATGTCAACCTCTTAGCTCTAAGACTAGTTCTCTCAAGTATATTGAGTTTTTTACCACTTTATTATAAACTCGGTGCCAAATAAATTAATTCGATGTGAACATGGTGCCGATATGGTAACACACTTACTAGTCAATAGATAGTAAGTGTATAGTAGTATATAGTGCTGTATACATGGTATAGTAAGTGTATAGTAGTATATATAGTGCTGTATAGTAAGTGTATAGTAGTATATATAGTGCTGTATAGTAAGTGTATAGTAAGTGTATAATAGTATATATAGTGCTGTATAGTAGTATATATAGTGCTGTATAGTAAGTGTATAGTAGTATATATAGTGCTGTATAGTAAGTGTATAGTAGTATATATAGTGCTGTATAGTAAGTGTATAGTAGTATATATAGTGCTGTATAGTAAGTGTATAGTAGTATATATAGTGCTGTATAGTAAGTGTATAGTAGTATATATACTGCTGTATAGTAAGTGTATAGTAGTATATATAGTGCTGTACAGTAAGTGTATAGTAGGTGCTAAGTATATATAGTGCTGTATAGTAAGTGTATAGTAGTATATATAGTACTGTATAGTAAGTGTATAGTAAGTGTATAGTAGTATATATAGTGCTGTATAGTAAGTGTATAGTAGTATATATAGTGCTGTATAGTAAGTGTATAGTAATATATATAGTGTTGTATATCAAGTGTATAGTAGTATATATAGTGCTGTATAGTAAGTGTATAGTAGTATATATAGTGCTGTATAGTAAGTGTATAGTAGCAGGGATAGTGCTGTATAGTAAGTGTATAGTAAGTGTATAGTAGTATATATAGTGCTGTATAGTAAGTGTATAGTAGTATATATA